ACTGCTTCAATTTCTTTTGCTGTTATTGGTGTATTTAGATTTTCCACTTTCCCTGAGTTTTGGAAGATTGTATTTTTCTAGAAATGTGTCCATTTCCCCTAGGTTTTCAAATTTCTTGGCGTACAGTTCTTCATAGTAATTTCTTACAATCCCTTCTATTTCTGTGGTATCAGTTGTAATCTCTCCTCTTTCATTTCTGATTGTGTTTATTTGTGTCCTCTCTCTTCTTTTCTTGATGAGCCTACTTAAAGGCTTGTCTATTTTGTTTATCTTCTCAAAGAACCAACTCCTGGATTCACTGATTCTTAAAATTGTGCTTTTAGTTTCTATGTCATTTAATTCTGCTCTAATCTTGGTTATTTCCTTCCTTCTGCTTGCTCTGGGCTGTCTTTGTTGTTGTTCCTCGAGTTCTTGAAGGCAAAGGGTTAGGTTGTTTGTTTGAAATGTTTCTGTTTTTTTTAGGTAGGCCTGTATTGCTATAAACTTCCCTCTCAGGACTGCCTTCACTGTGTCCCATAAGTTTTGGGTTGTTTTGAGTTCATTTTCATTTGTTTCCAGAAACATTTTGATTTCTTCCCTAATTTCATTCTTGACCCATTCGTTGTTTAATAGCATACCATTCAGTCTCCATGCTTTTGGGTGCTTTGGGTTTTTTCCTTTGGGGTTGGTTTCTAATTTCAGTCCCTTGTGGTCAGAGAAGATGCTTGGTATGATTTCAATTTTCTTGAATTTTTTGAGGCTCGTTTTGTGTCCTATCATGTGGTCTATCTTTGAAAATGTTCCATGTGCATTTGAAAAGAATGTGTATTTAGCTTCTTTGGGATGAAGGACTCTATGTATATCTGTTAAGTCCATTTCATCTAGGGTGTTGTTTAATGCCACAATATCTTTGTTGTTAATTTGTTTGGAAGATCTGTCCATTTTTGATAGTGGGGTGTTAAAATCCCCTACTATAATTGTGTTGCTGTCAATATCTTTCTTGAAGTCCTCTAAGATTTTCTTGATATATTTGGGTGCCCCTATGTTTGGTGCATATATGTTTACAATGGTAATATCTTCTTGGTGGATTCTTCCCTTGAGTATAATGAAGTGACCTTCTGGGTCTCTCTTTATGGCCTTTTTTTTGAAGTCTATTTTGTCCGATATGAGAATTGCTACCCCAGCTTTTTTTTTCTTGTCCGTTTGCTTGGAAAACTTGTTTCCAGCCTTTCACTTTTAGTCTGTGATGGTCTTTTGTCCTGAGGTGGGTCTCTTGTAGGCAGCATATGTGTGGGTCATGCTTTCTTATCCATTGAGCTATTCTGTGTCTTTTGATTGGAGCATTTAATCCATTTACGTTTAAGGTTATTATTGATAGGTACTTATTCATTGCCGTTTTTGTACCTGTGTTCCTCTCTGTCTCCCTCTTATCCTTCCTTCCCTTAAAGCAGTCCTTTTAGTATTTCTTGTAGAGCTGGTTTGGTGGAGGCGTATTCTTTTAGGCTTCTTTTGTCTTGGAAGCTCTTTATTTGGCCATCTATCTTGATTGAGAGCCTTGCTGGGTAAAGTAGCCTTGGTTGTAGGCCTCTGGTTCTTATTACTTGGAATACTTCTTGCCATTCTCTTCTTGCTTGAAGTGTTTCCATTGAGAAGTCAGTAGTTAACAGGCTCCCTTGTATGTTATTTCTTTTTTCTCCCTTGCTGCCTTTAAGATTTTCTCTTTGTCTTGGAATTTTGCCATTTTGATGATGATGTGTCTTGAAGTGGGCCTCCTTGGGTTCCTCTTGATTGGGACTCTCTGTGATTCCTGGATTTGTGAGACTTTTTCTCTTATCAAATTAGGGAAATTTTCTCTCATTACTCGTTCAAATACGTTTTCTATCCCTTGTTCTTCTTCTTCTCCTTCTGGTATTCCTATTATTCGGATATTATGTTTCATATTGTCTTGCATTTCTCTTAATCCCTCTTCATTCTTTCTGAGCCTCTTTTCATTTTCTTGCTCTTTCTGTGAGATGCTTTCTACCTTGTCCTCCAACTCACTAATCCTATCCTCCCCTTCATCTATCCTACTTTGGAAACTTTCTACTGTGTTCTTCAATTCGGAAATTGTATTCTTCATTTCCTCTTGTCTCTTGCTGATAGTTTCCATTTCCTTTTTCATGTTGCTGTAGTTTGCAGAGAGATCATTATAGTTCCCCTGTAGTTTCTGGTAGTTCACTGTGAGCTCTTTGAACTTCGTAATAACCAGTGCTTTGAATTCACTATCTGATAGTTGATCAGCCTCTATTTCATCTAATTATTTCTGAAGTTTCTGCTTTTTCTTTCATTTGGGGATTGTTTCTTTGTCTTCCCATTGTTTGAGACTCTTCTTGTTAGTCTCTGCTTCTAAAATTGATCTGTTCTGAAACCCTGGTTTTATGGTGTAAACTTCTGTGGTATGATCCTTGTGAAGTTCAGTGGTGCAGACTCCTTAAAGTTTCTTGATGTTCTTCATCTCCACCTACACTCACGCTGGTCCTCGCGCTGGTCCCTGTGTTGGTCGCCTACCACTGCTGAATGTCCCGGCTCTAGTAGCCGCCTCCGCAAGCACCCAGGCCCATTACTACGGCAGCGGCACAGAGGTTGGGAATGTCCTGGCTCCCGTAGCTGGCTCCTCTGCCTCCCAGGGCCGTCTCAGGGGTTTGGAGTGTCCCAGCTTCCATGCCTGACTCCCCGGCGTGCAGTCCAGTCGTTATGCCAGCGGCACAGGGGCTGAGGACGTCCTGGCTCCTGTAGCTGGCTTCTCTGCTGCCTACGGCCGTCACAGGGGTTTGGAGCATCCCAGCTTCCGTACCTGACTCCCCGGCTCCAGTCCCATTGCTAAGACAGCGGCACTGGAGCTGAGAACATCCCGGCTCCCGTAGCTGGCTCCTCTGCTGGGTCACAGGGGTTTGGAGCATCCCGGCTTCTGTACCTGACTCCCTGGCGTCCAGTCCTGTCGCTATGGCAGCAGCACAGGGGCTGAGAACATCCCGGCTCCCGTAGCTGGCTCCTCAGGGCCCAGGCCTATCTCTGTGGTGGCATCACAGAGGCCTTTGGTGTCCCAGCTCCTGCAACTGACCCTTCCGTTGCCCAGGCCATTAGCTATGGCATCGGCACAGGGGCCGAGAATGTCCCCGCTCCGGTTCCTGACTCCTCTGTCTCCCAGGACCGTCACAGGGGCTTGGAGTGTCCGGCTCCCGTACCTGACTCCCCGGCTCCCAGGCCTATTGCTCTGGCAGCAGCACAGGGGCCGCGTGAGACCCAGCTCCAGTAGCTGACTCTGCCGCCGTCTGGTGTTTCAGCGTCGGTCACAATCTCTGGTCTTTTAATTTCATAAATGCTGGGTAACCGATGGTTTATTGTGCTGTTTCTCTATAGATCTGCCAGGATTTTCACCCATGAGTACAGGAGCTAGCATCAGCTCCGTCTTACTTTGTCGCCATCTTCCCAGCATCCCTCAATGGGTCTTTTACAAATAACTGGCGATGTCACAAACCTTTATTTTCAAACTCGCTCTTTTGGACCTCTGGATCTTTTGTTAACAGCCTGAGAGTTTTTAAATTTTTAAAATTTGAATGGATTTCTGGACTAATGTTTCCTTTAATGTGGCCATGCTTGCTGGCCACAAGAGTTTGGTGTATGCTGGTGTGGCAGGACGTCACTGAGGCACCCAAAGTGGGTTCAGCCTGCTGTCCAGTCACGAGTTCCATTCACTCGGCTAACATCCTTTTGACCTCCTATCTTGTCTGGCCTTGGGCTGGCCACTCAGAACCCTGAGAAGGGAAGACCGGGCTTCTGCACCCACTTGGAATTGGGACAAGAAATTAGGTTGCTATGCCTGTAAGTTATCAGGGGGCCGGGGGGGGGGGGGGCAAGTCTGGTTTAGAAACCTGTAGACTTAGTTTCTTCATCTCCAGATTCAATTTTGGATCTGAGCCAGCACTGCAGGCCAGTCTTCGTTCCCAGCTGTTTAGGCAGGAAATGTAAACAAATCCCCTTTCTCTGACAGGTTTAATGAGAAAACACTTCATGATAAAGTGCTCTGAGCTCTGTAGGAAGAAATGCCAAGGCGCTCCGAAATTCATTGCCCCTTTGCCACATCAACAGGTTTGGCCTGGCAACGTCTGCCTTGGAGGCAGAAATCTACAAGCTGTAAATTACACTGAGAGATTACTCATTTGGAACTGCAGAATGTACTGGGTTCCATTTATGTGTCACCACAGATCTGAGAGCTTGCCTTCCTCTCTGGTCCGGGTGGCTCTCACCGAGGCTCCTCCGTCGTGGGCCCAGGTTGCTTTGGGCACTGAGGCCCCTCATAGCTCCTCCTGCGGCACGAGGCAGGACTGGGCACGCCTTGCTTCCTCCCCAAGCCCAACGCCTGCTCCGTGGCCCAGGGCTTCCCGGTTGCTTGTAGGGGACCCACTGGGCACTTAAGCACAGGCGGCCAGCAGGTGCCAGGGAGTGCATGCCTTCTGGGGGCGAGTGTGGAAGCCCCACGGACCAACACAGAGGGTTGTTGAAATAAAGTCTTCTTCCCCTACTCCCCAGAGATTGACCAGTGGGGGTCCAGTAGCTTCCTACATCCTCTGAACACAGCCCCCACCTCACCCCCTGGTGGGCCCCCCTCTGGTGCCTCTGCCTCCTCCCTGCCTTTATCCCCCCTCTGCTCGCCTGGGATGGCATTGCCCATAATGTATTCGTCTATGAGCTGTAGCCTCAGGCTCTCTATTTTTAGGAAACATGAATAAAAAAGACAAAGAATAGTATAGCTGAAATTGACCTAGATGGTCCTGTATTCAAAGGCTTTCATTTTATAGAAGAAAACACTGAAACCCGATGGGGTGAAGGCAAAGTGGATTACTCAGCTCACTTTCTCCAGATGTTGGGCTCGTTATTAAGTAATTATTAAGTAGTACATGTATGTGTGCCTCTTTATATATAACCATCTCTGTGTGTGTGTGTGTGTAACCTTATTTGTCTGTCTGCCCTGCCCTCCTCAGAAATAGCGGACAAGATCTACAACCTCTTCAATGGCTACACCAGCGGGAAGGAGCAGCAGACGGCCTACAACACCCTCCTGGACCTGGGCGCCCCCACCCTCCACCGCGTCCTCTACCACTACAACCTGCACTACGAGGGCTTCGGAGAGTTCACCTGGCGGTGTGAGGACGAACTGGGACCCAGGTAAACCACACACTTCATTGCCTCTTGCAAAGGCCTCAGCTCATGGGAAGTCTGTCCCTCCTCCGCTGGAGTAATGCCTTCACGCGTGTGCGCAGGCGCCCTGGGGGAGCTCAGAGACGGAAGCCCTGTGACTTCAGACGGCTCGGTTCGTGCAGGCCGGTTCTGCCCCGGCTGTAGCTAAGTGGTCGGGTCATGGGTGCGTTTCCTGAGCTCTGGGAACACTTTGCCTGGTTCTGTTTAACTCCCTCTTTGTCACGTGACATAGGTTCCAAACACTAAAATAGTAGGAGCTGAAAGCTGAGTCTCGTGAAAGAAATTCAGGAACTTTATTGAAGAGATTATCCAAAAATGTTCTTTGCAGATGAACTTTGCACGTGTTACGTGCGTTCTACACACACACGTTGAGCTAAATTCCACATTCTCTTAAAAAGACAACATAGGGGTAGCCAGTGACCCACCTTGACTTCCATCTTGGCCAAAGTTAGGACATAACAGTGTTGGCCAGTTTCCTGCGGCGCCGTGGCTACAACTTCCCCAAACTCTCAGCATGCCCTGCTCTTTGGCTGCATGAGCCAGACAGAGGCCTTTGAAAGAGAGGGATGGGAGGAATGTGTAGAGATAGTACCTTCCTTTCCTTCCGGCTGTATATGGCTACTCGGAGAAAACCAGATTTCCCTGCGAATACCACAATCAGCAGGTAAACGCTGTGATGAGGCTTTTTGTACAGAATGTGGGTACTGCTACGTCCCAAAATGATTTAGCAGCTCATGGGAAAAAAGGGCAAGGACTTTGAGGATAGGGGAAAAAAGGAAAACAAAGATCAGCCCTGTGGAGTCCTCCAGCACTTAAAGAACCCTTGCATCCAGGCAACAGGACTTAACAAGAGGGTCACCCAAGTCACCCCGTCCGTCTGACCTCTGACCAGCCAAGAGGGAGACCCCGCCTCCGTGCACCTCCTGTGATGGCCCCAAATCACCAGCTGTCCTAGGAGACCATCCTGTGGGACAGCGCCCCCTAGTTCCTTGCTTTCGAAGGAAAGAGGAAATTTAGGATCGTCTTCCTAAAATAAACCGGTTTCATGTGTAAGGTCAGGAGGAATCTTTATGCAGTCTACAGACTGTTTCCTGATGTCTCCAAGGGCTGGCAGTCCTTGAGCAAACAGATGCCAGGGACCAGGACACGGAAGAAAACAGATGAGGGACTTCTAACTCAGTTTGTCTCAGCTTTGGTAAAAAGCCAGCCTTAGGTTAAAAAGTTAACACATATTAAGGAACGTCCTCTCTGCCCCATACCTTATTACATTTCTGCCTATTATCTCCTCCCCCCTGCTCGTCCACCTGCTTTCTCCTCCCTCCCCTCTTCCCCTGACATTTATCGGATATAAACATACAGTTCTTGGTCAGGAGACATAAATGTCACAGTTTGAATGACACGGACATGTCCTATGTGGTCTTCATTTCCAAGGGCATTTGGATCGCCAGTTGCTCCCCTGTAACTCAGGAGTCAGGAGAGTCGGCTAACGAAGAAAGTGAGAGGGGAGGAGGCACGGGTCTCCCTGGACAGTAACGCCGCTGCCGACTGGACGCGCTTCTCCCAAAACTGCCCTCCCAGGGGGCTCTTCACTGGTTTTCCAAGACTCCACGAGATTAGGAAAAAAAGGTGCAATTTTATTAGCTTGTGGAACGTAGAGCTGTACTCGTGGGCGTCAGGGACAACTGCAGGAAGCAAGGTCCTCTGCCTCGAGGTGCGCCAGCCCACCTCAGTGTCACTCGTGGGAGTGACCCCAGAGCAGGGTCGCAGGATCGAGCAGAAAGGATCCCCCCAGTTCAGTCCAGTGCAATCCACTGAAATTCACGGAGGCTGCCAGGTTGAGCTGAGGGTTGAAATACTTTGAGAACAACATTGGTTGCCTTGCTGTTAAGAAAGAAGAAGACCACAGGCTCTGAGATGGTCAAGGGCAGACCCACTTTAATAATTTTTTAAAAAGTGAGCCGTGAAAGTAGCCACAAAGACCCCTGGGGTAAGGAAATCCATTTGCTGGAAAGGGTTGTGCTTCTTCATCTGTTTCTTAAGGGTAATAGACATGCTGCTCCTCTCTCTTGCTTCACTCTCCCATCTTCTACCTCCCCCAAATTTGCCAACAACTCATGACATGTGGCAGGGTACATTAAGATGATGGGCCACCAACCTCCCTGTGGCTGATGGCTTTTGGAAAGCCCGCCTGGCCCAGCCGGAGAGGCCCCTGGGGGAGGGGAGCCCATCTGCCCAAGATGTCGGCAGCCGAGTGTGTCTCTGGTTTCCTCGGACCCACCACTGCAGTTGGAGAGAAGGTGGCCCCACACTGTCTGGACCCTTGACTTGGCAGCTGAAACTGGACGTCTCTCCTCCTCTGTGCCCTGCCAGGCACACAGCGATGTCACGGCCGGGACAGAGGAGGAATGAAATGAACGTGAGTCCTGGTCTTTGGAAGCTTGTTGTAAGCAGGGCGTGCAGACTTCCATTTTCTGGAAGCTGTTGATTGGACAGGGAAGGATGGTCTCCTACTTGAGACGTTAGCCTCGCAGGGGGCGAACTGCATTCTCACTGAGCTGCCCGAGACAGCGTTTCCCAGCTTGTTCAAATCAGAGAATCTCTCGGCGTGGTCTGCGGTCACTTACATCTTTGAAAAACAGGAGTGAGGGATCCCTGCTCCTTCACACACCCTGAGTGTTCACAGTCAAAGCCGGGGAGGTCCAGCAGGTGGTCTCCGACTCCAGGATGCCAGGAAGAAGCCCACTTCCCCCAGCCGTGCACCTAGGCGATCACACTGCACCACTCCGTTCTGGGTGTGTGAAGCAGGGAGACCTCGTCCCCCTCTGCTCCTGTCCCTCTCTGGGACCTGTGGGCGCCTCTCGTGGCCTCCCTTCCCCAGGTTGATTGGGGTGCATGGCGGTCACTTCCTTCCTTTCTGAGGGAGGAGGAGAAAGAGTGGAGCCCGAGCTCCCCAGGGGTGGATTAAGCAGGCCCCTGGGGGGGTCCGCACTTTCCCCAGGAACGACCCCGTCCGCATCCTACTCACTCACCTCCGCACGGGCACAAATAGTTACATTTCATAGCCCCTGGTGTTCACTGCGTCCCTGCTTCTAGCCCGGGCAGAAACAGCTTTGAGAAGGGAACTGCTCTGACAAATACCCTATTTGTGATTTAATGGTGACAAATGACTGGCTTTAAAGAAAATGGATTTGATTTGTCTTTCAAAACTGACAGCTCTATGATTTTAAAAGGGCAGACGTGCCCACTGAAATACCAGTAATTTTCTCTTCATTTTTCCTATTGCATTTCGTTTCTGCCTGCCTGTTTGCACCTCCATCTTATTATCTCATTCAGTCATTCATTTGCCTGACAAATATTTGTGGAACGCCACCATTCTAAATGCTAGTGATAGAACGGTAAGTGAACCAGACCGGGCCCGGGAACTTGAAGTCTCACGCCGTCTGCCCTCCCCCTGTGCCGCCTTCCTAACCTCAGTGCTCGATCCCTAGGAAAGCCGGCCTCATCCTCTCGCAGCTCGGGGACCTCAGCGGCTGGTGCAACGGGCTCCTTCAGGAGCCCAAGATAAGCCTGCGACGCAGCTCCCTCAGGTACCTGGCCTGCCGCTACAGCGAGATCAAGCCCTACGGACTCGAATGGTCGGAGCTGAGCCAGGACCTCAGGAAGACGTGCGAGGAGCAGACCCTGAGTGTCCCCTACAATGACTACGGGGACAGCAAGGATATCTAGCACGATGCTGCCACCAGGAAGCACGAGCGAGGAAGGGACATCTGAGTTGGTTGGTGATTTTTACTATTTTTTAATGGAACGTTAAAACCTCCACAGGTGACATGTGAACCAGGGAGAGACGGACCCTTGTCCCCTGCGGGGTTTCTCTGCCACGTTGCTCCCCATCAGCACAGCCAGACACCTGCCAGCGGCTCCACGCAGACCCATTGTTTCAGGGGGTTACTCTGGGGCTTGTTTTGCAGCTGACTTGTTGATTTTGTTTTTCCCAAGATGTTCATCAAAATGCTCCCAAGTTCTGTCACACTTCCCGTGAAAGACCCATCAGGTTGGAGCACCCTGGGCTCCCGAGTTCCTGAGTCTGTTACAGCTGGGGACGGAGCCGTCCACCCAGCCTCAGGCCCCAGACCCAGGACGCACTTCGTCCTGGGAGCCCTTGGGAGCCAAGCCCAGCCCGGAGAAAGACGCGGCAATTGGGAAGGCGGCCCCTTTGCTGACGCCACACCGGACAGGTCGCTGTCCTCCCCTCCTGTCATCTTTAAGGGGCACAAAGTGCCACTGTCCAGAGCACCTTCAGAGTGCGCTACCTAGGAGACCAGTTTGAGGTCCACATTCCAGAAAAGAGTGGGATTGTTTAAAAAAAAACAAAACAGCCCCTGCCCCGAGGAGGGGCGCCTCCCCCGCCCGGACCCCAGTCTGCACTGTGCTCCCCCTCCTCCCCGGTGTCCGCACCGCTCGCCCTGGGCTGCGCTGGTGTCCACGAGCGGCCCACCCGCCACGGCAGTGTTGCAGCGCCCGAAGTGACTGCTGATCACGCAGAACTCCCGCCCTCACCTGCCCCTCGAAATTCACTTCATCACATCTTCAGTCTCACACGTCATTTCTCTGGAAGAGCGGCGGTGGGAGGACCCGCACCTTCACCCCCGCCCAGCTGCCGGGAGTCAGAGACTCTGCAGGTGAGCCCCACGGACTTCAGCGAGGGGCCGCCTGCTGCCCGAGGGTCTGCGTGGGCGCCAGTGGGGTCCGGCCCACAGGCAACCCGGCCTTCTGGAAAGCCCTTTGCAGGTGGGCCAGTGACGGCCCTCACTGTCCCCGCCCACCTCAGAGGCCTGAGCGCCCACTCAGCACCCTGCCTTTGACCAGGCCCCTCATTTGGAAATGCAAGAGAAAGGCCAGGAAGCGGATGGAAGGTCTACAAGGCCGGTGGCTGGGCTACACGGATGTTTTCTAAATGTCAGCGATGACAAGGCCACGTCACCGAGGGCTCATCGAGTGCAGGTGCTGCCCATGCCTCCGAGTGTCAGTCCCAACTCCGGCTCAGTGACAAGGAAACCCAGGTAGAGAGGCCGCAGGCCTCGCCCCAGATGCCCCACTGTCTGAGCCGCCGTGCACACTCAGGCCGCCACGTCCAGAGCACAAGTGCTCAGCACCGCCGCCCCGGCCTGTCCTCAGCCTTGATCCCAGGGCAGCCGGCTGCCCCCACTGTAAGCTCCACGGGGTCCTGCCCAGAGAGCCTTCCCTTCCCCACGCCGCCAGGGTGTCAATATGCCCCCGTGGGCAGGAGGAGGAGCCCAGGGTGCCCTTCACTCTCCCGCTGGAGCGCCTTCGGGATGGTGGGCTCTGTCCACAGGCGTCCCCACCAGGGCCAGGAGTGAAGCCTGGGCTAGGGCAGCCCTCACGCCCTCTCTGCATCTGTCCATGGAGAGAGTGACAGGTTTCCCTCCTGCTAGGGGCCCCCCTGCCTCAGAGACCACCCTCCCAAATCCAGTGTGAAGGCTGCAGAAAATGGGCCTCCCACCTCTGGTCCATGCAGAGCCTCGGCTGCGATACCCCGGGGGCAGTGTCCACCATCACCAGGGAGGGAGATGCCCTGGGCAGCAGGACACCCACCAGTGGGGCGGCGAGCTGAGGCCGGCTTCGCTGCTGCCACTGCGTCCTGTTCTCTAGGGAAGTCCGCGCAGGAAACCAGGGTGCCCAGGGGGCTGTCCCCCCCCCACACCGGGGGTGGGCGAGGTGAGGACAGGAAGTGGCACAGGGTCACCCTTTTCTGGTCTCCTCCTTCTGTTTTAGTAATATAGACGAGGTTCACTGTGGCCAGCTCCCCCTAAGTCCCCGCACCTCCTTGGCACCTGCTTTATCTTTGCTTCTCCCGCCCGGGACCCCCCCTTCCTCCCCCATGACTCTCTTCCACCCGTGTCCCTTGTGCCCTCCTCACAGCACACACTGCCCCCCACACTATACACACTCCCACATACATGCACACTACACACACACGCCCCACGTACACACTGTATCAACCCTAACAGCTGGGACCCATCTACTTCCCGGTTAAAAGTAAGGCCAGTGAGAATGGGGTGGGACAGCTCTTAGGGTCCCCTGGGGACTGGACTAGAGGGTTTGTGCCACCACCAGCACACCCCAGTGACACTGACCGGAGCCCACCCCAAGGAGACTCGGGGGGTGGTACTGGGCCAGTATTAACCCTCGTGTCCAAGCTGCCACACGGGTTGCAGGGGCGTTGAGTCGCGTCTCTGCAGCACGTGCCCCCGAGTGGACGGGCCCAGAGCTCTCCTGAGAGTGCAGCCATTTCCCATGGAGTGTGGGCGGCTCCTGACTTCTAGTTAACCTTGTTCCTCAATATTCCAATGTTCTGTTAAAAAACTGAGTGTGAAAAAAACACTTTACCACCATAGAAGAGAGAGGACATAATGTGACCACCTTCGGGTACAGCAGTATTGTATGATTATTACAAAATGGAATAATCAACTAAATAAAAAACGAGCCGTTAGTAAGTGTCGGGTGTGTGGGCGTTACCTTGTGTCTAAATCATCTGCGTCTGGTTGGACCTCGGGAAGCGTTCCAGCTTTAAATGTGAGATCGCAAGCACGGAGGCCTTGCAGCCGGGCCTCGGACTGGGGGGAAAAAATACTGAACAGCAAAGGACAAACTTACACTCTTGCTGTGCAGTGACGACTCCCCCGTCTCCCTGCCACCTTCTCCAAGAGCAGGCCGAAGAAACTGAGCGCGTATATGTGGCCATCCGGGCACCAGGCACTGTCGGAGATGCCCCGGTGGGTAGGACAAGCTTGTTCTCCATCACAGAGCACGGCATTGTACCGGGAGAGAGAGACACTGAACCCATCATGGCAAAAGTCATGAGAACCACGACAGGAGTTCGGGATGTATGGACGCTGCTGAGATGGAGGCTTTGGGCATCTGAGGAAATGGTTGCCAAGGCCCCTTCGGCCACGCTCCAGTTGGCCGTTCTGCGGAGGCCGGATGTTAGGAAATGCCGCACGGTGCGTAGCCCGCTCGGCCCTCTTTTCCCTCCCTACCAGGTAACTTCACAGACACTACGCTGCTCCCTTCTCCACCCGTAACCCACGTGACATGCCCACACCCTTAGCAGGCCCCCTTGAAAAGGACTGTGAGGGGCCTAGTCTCCGTGCAAGCGGGGACCCCTTACTGAAGGGAGGCGAAGACCATGGCAGCGCGGCCATGAAGCCTCTGACCCCGCCCATCTAGGGGTGTGTTCTCCTGGCTTCCCCTTGAATCGGGGCAGGTGCAAGACCAGCTCACCAACGCATTATGATCACAGTGACACTGTGACTCCCGAGTCTGAATCACAAAAGGCCTTGGGGTGTCCGCCTTCTCTGGAGCTCTTGCTCTTGGACCTCCCAGTCACCACTGAAGAAATCTGAGGCCACCATTGTGGGGCCATCATGCTGGAGAGGTGACACGTGAGCTCAGTGGAGCCCAGCCATCTGGACACTCCTGCTGAGGCAGCTGACACACAGAGCTATGCTGGACGCTCCAGACAAGTCCCCGTGCCAGCTGCAGGCCACCCAGCAGCCTCTATCAACGCCACATGAAAGAGAAGGCTCACCCAGCCAGCCCCAACCTGAACTCTGACCCCCAAAACTATGCAGCATAATAAAACGGTTATTGTTGTTTAAGGTCAAGGTGAGCTGAACAGCAAAGTTCCACCAAACAAGTTCTATGCCTGTTGCTCGTTTTCTCTCACGACGGTGGGGAGGGGGCCTTACAGGTTGCACAACTGACTACAACGACGCGCCGCCTGCACACGCCCCAGCCGAGCCGCCCGCCCCGGGTGTCGGCCGTGGAAAAGGCCTGGCTGTGGGGCAGGCGGGGCCTGTGCACAGTCAAAGCTCCCTGGGCCGCGAGTTTCCTGGCAGACCCGGATGTGGGGCGCCTCCTGTGGCTGATCTCACTGAGTGTCGCCGCAGACTGGCACAGGACTCAAAGGCGTCCCCACCCGTTCGTCTGGCCACATTCGACGTCCACACAGTTACAGGATCCCACCACGCCCACCGGGCTGTTGTGTCCACACCATGGAAACCCTGACCAGGGAGGCCAGTCTAAGGCTCGTCGGGCCTCCAGACCTTCCAAACAGTCCGGTCTCCTGGGGACCAGACAGGGAGGGTGTTTTGATCTTCGCTCTGTAGCCTGTATGTCCCTTGGCAACTAGGGAGGGATCGGAGGCCGCCCACAACCGAGGTGTCAGTGATGGAGTTGATGGCTGGGGGACACGGAGGGGGGTGCACCACAGGAGGGTATTTGGTTGCCGGGGCAACGCCAGCAAACACTCCCCAGAGAGGGTGTGGCCCAGGATTTAACGAAGTGCCACTGGGTTTGCGCAGCAGCTGGAATGTCTGAGTGTGGCTGTGTTCCTACCCGCGGGGGCCCGGCCAGGCCGCTGGCAGGGCTGCCGGGACCTCTCAGGAATGCTCAGGATGCAGACGGGCAGCAAGGCGGCGGGCGAGCCTCCAGGCAAGGGTTTCCTTACCCCCAGCCACAGAGTGGGGCCTCCCAGGAGAACTTGGGAGAACTGCAGAAAGAGCCAAAACAGACCTGATCTACAAAGTACTGTGTGTCCCCCAAACGCCCAGCCGATACGCTTCAGGGTGTGGAGTGGGCGCTGTCAGAGTTCGGCCCTGCCAGAGTTCGCCCGCCTCTCCCTGCACTGCCTGCCCTCCTCCGAGGTGGGGTGCTCACCCCCCACCCCCGTCACTGCACACAAGGCAGGTGTGCAGCGTGTGTGACCAGCAGGCAGTGGACTGGAGAGGCAGGTCCAGAAAGATGCTGGGCCCAGGAGAGCCCAGACCACAGCCACAGGGGAGGGGCTGATGGGACTCGGTACACGAAGCCCTGGGCCGAGGCGGCGTCTGTGGCAGATGCCCAGTGGGTAGACAGTGCTGTCACTAGCCAGAGGATTCAGAGAAAACCTGGTAAGGATGCCTCCGTGAGGCCCCCTGCTGGCCAGCTGTCAGGGAGGGAGGCCCCAACTCAGCCCTTCTCCAGAATCAACTGGTTCCTGTCTTACCTCATCCTCCCCTCGGCATTGACTGACCAGGCAACTCTTGTCTGAGGCAGAGCATGAAGGGGAACTGGAGACAAGGGCTGAGATTTCAAGTAAATGCAAAGGGCAAATAGGGTGATAGTGGGCACTTCACTGCAAAGGAAAGAACATTCACTCATTAATAGATACGTATTACTAATAAGTATTACCTGAGCTCCAGCTATGCCGTGGGAAAGGAACTCGGCAGGGACGCTGTGCCAAGGGCCCCCAAGGTTCACTAAGGTGACCCTCGTTGAACACTCAGGACAGCCCTGCCAACAAGGACAGACGCCCCTCTTCACAAAGGGGCCCCGATGGAGCCAGGGCCCTGCCGACACCTCCCCGAGCTGGAAGTCTGCCCTGGGTCCCGGTCCAGGGTCCATCCTGAATGAGAAAGCCTGGACACCTGTGTGCCTTGCATGTCTTCCAAGGTTCACTGTGAGAGGGTTGGGCTTGAACTACGTACACAGGTGTCTTGGTGCTGCCAGGAACTTCTCTTGTCTCTGGAGGGAACCTCGCTACTCTCCCCAAGCCACTGCCTGGGGTCCCCTTTGTAAACGTAGACTCTCCAGCTCTCAAAGGTCGTCATGGGTGGGCACAGGCTGCTCAGGGATGAGCGTACCCCCCAGGCAGAGCCCCGGGACATGCTGTGGTGTCAACATGGCCCTCTGGAATTGGGGGTCAAGTACATTATCTGGCTGACAGTTTTTTTAAACTAAAAATACTTAATACTTGAAGTCAGGCTCACTGTCTAAGTATTTAGTCTGGGGCCTTAAACTGGAACACGGCATGACTTTAAATGGAATTTTATCTAAAACAATGCCAAAGGTTCAGGGAACACGACTGCATGTGAGGGGGGGGTGGTGTGTGTGTGTGTGTGTGTGTGTGTGTGTGAGAGAGAGAGAGAGGGGCAGAGAGACAAGCACCAACGAGTTCGTTAGGGCAACTCAAAAGTTAAGCCAAAAGTAACTCAAAAGAAAGTGCACGAAAGCTCCAAAGCCAGCCCGTCACCATCCTCACTATCCAGCTTCGAGGGACACTTCGCATTCACGAGAGTTCACACCCCCAGAGCCTTCGAGGTGGGAATCCCCCTTCCACCCCACGGACGGCAAAGTGGAGTCTCAGCCATCCAGGGAGTCGCGCGGGGTCAGTGGACTTCAGCCCTGGTTAGGCTGTCCCTTGGATTCGCTAGCTTGTCTGATCAAGTTACTATTCCTTTCCAATCCCTGTGGGAGGGACATCCAAAACCACGCCGCACACCCGTTCGCTGGGTGGAAGCGTGCCTGAGCACACGCCGACCGAGCACACACCCCGAGTTCGACGGCCACCTTGAGAACCGGCTGTGTGACAGCACCCACTCAGCCGCCGTCCCCCCTGCTGGCCCGGCACTGCCGTCACCTGGGACTGTTGGTACAGAGCCGGGCCACCAAGTGTGGGGCTCCAGTGTGCACAGGTCGACCCGCCCATCCCCAGCCCCACACACGGCACCTTCTTTTCTTTCAATTTTCATGTCCATAAAAGCCTGGATGTGGAATGTAATTCAGCAAGAGGCGGGGCCCTGCATGGGGCAGTGCCCGAGCTCCAAACCAGAGGGAGTGTGTGTCTCCAGGGCCACCCTGCCGGGGTGCGAACTTCCGTCCCTCCCGAGGCTGCCTGGTCCCAGGGGTCAAGGAGGCCAGAAATGTAGCCCGTGCTGCGTTCTCAACCAGTGCTCTCGGGTGCCTGTTTGCCTCCCTCAGACTGAAGGGCGGTGGTCTCGCCTTCGAAAGGCAGCACAGGGCCTAATGGGGCCCTGAGCGCACCTGCCTTGGACGAGTTTGCGGTTGAGTAGGGCACAGACGAGACACATGTAACCAAACATCGCTCAGCTAGACCGAGTACCCTGGGAGAGGGCAGTGGGGGTCAGTCAAGGGACACGGTAACTTTCAAGAACAGCTTGGTGACCACAGAAAGCAGGAGAAGGGGCTTCGAAGAGGGGCAGATTTGGGACAGGGGACCGCGTGGGTGAGGCCAGGGGTTCAGAGCGGCGCCCTGGGAGGGAAGGGCACTCCTTCAGAAGCAGGGGAGGCCAGGGCAGCTGGCTGGCTGTGCCGGCATTGTCTGGCCGCTAAGGACACACGGAGACTGTGGGCTCAGGTCCCGGAGCACGGCTGACTCGAGGGGAGCCGTGTTTTAGGAAGAGTGATATGGGCTCAGTGTGCCTATGGGGTGGGGACAAGAGGTAGGGGTCAGGGCCTGGCTTGGCCACAGCACCGTGGTCCGTTTGACAGCAGCCAGAGGCGGGGAGGGCAGGGCAGACAGACAGGAGGATGACGGACATGGGAGGCACAAAGGGGATGCGGTGGGTTTAGTCCAAGCACCGCAACACTGGGGTGGGAGGCAAGTTCCCTAAGTGCGAGCCAGAGCCGGGGCCGTGGCTGCAGACACCCTCAATGAGCCACGGTCCCTGTCTGTCACCTCCTCCCTCCCCCTGCCCCAGCCACGCTGCCTGGGCGCTTCTCCACACAGGTGCACCGAGCACTCTCATACCTGCTGCTGGGGCTGCTTCCTCGCCCCAGGGGCCCACTCTCTGCACGACTCCAACCAGCTACACCTCACCCCCTGCAACCGGAAACGGGAGGGCTGTGGAGCGGTGGTCGTCTGGGCTGCCATGATGCCCTTGTGGGAAGAGAACGTCCTCTCTGCCCTCCTCCCCCACAGCAGCCCCATCCCTCTGGTTGGCCTGACTCCAAGGGCCAGCTGACCAGTGACTTGTCCTGTCATTTAACTTTGTCTGTCAATGGAAACCAGAGCTCCAAAGTGCCTCTCCAGGACTGTCCCTGGGGACCCCAGTAGGCAGAAGGCTTCCCGGCCCGATGTCCCAGGCCAGCTGGCCCAAGTGGCATTTGTGGGCGTCTGCTTAAACTCGGGGCCTGGCGTGAGCCGCGGGCCCTGGACGGCTCACTCTCAGCTTTTCTACCCTCGGTCACCAAGAAAGCCACCAGGAGGCCAATGAGCACCCGAAACACAAACAGGCGAGGAGACCTGTCGCTTCCCCCCATAGTCGGTTCTGGGTTCACTCGGGGCCCAGGGGGCCGAGCACTGCGCGGCAGAAAGCACATTACACGTTACGTTTGTAACGTGTAATGCCAGAAAGCTGGCATTCCCATCCCGACCTATACTTCACTATGTGAATTTAAGTTTTTCTGCACCTTCTCTGTCACTCAGTGTCTGTAGAATGGGGGTGGGGCAGGGGTGGGAACGACGTAAAACCACGAACCCGTCCTTGCCCCGCCTAACCCATGGGCGCCAATAAAGCCGGAGCAAGCACTTATTGAACCATAAAGCCGTGCCAGGGGGACCCTTTACTCTCAGATGTTTACTTCTAACCTCTCTTCCAGAGTCCAAGTGCACAGTCTCAGCTCCTGCTCCTAGTCCTTCCCAGTGGCTCACAGGCGTGACAAGGTCACCCCCAGCCCTCGGGCAGCTGGCAGTGTGGGCCGCGGCCAGAGCCCTTGGCAAGGGGTGCCCAGCTGCAAGAGCTTCCTCCAGCGTGCTCAACGTGGCTTCACAGGAAATGTCCAACTCTTATCTGTCCCCACAGCTGATTTTTTAAAAAAGATTTTATGTATTTTTAGAGAGAGGAGGAAGGGAGGGAGAAAGAGAGGGAGAGAAACGTCAATGTGTTGTTGCCCCTCGCACGCCCCCTACTGGGGACCTGGCCTGCAACCCAGGCACGTGCCCTGACTGGGAATCCAACCAGTGACCCTTCGGTTCGCAGGCTGCCGCTCAGTCCACTAAGCCACACAAGCCAGGGCTCAAACTGATTTTATCAAAAAGCAAATACATGCTCTTTCTTCCAACGCCTGCCCCTCCTGGCTTGTCTGTCAGCTGAGACAGTCTGTATGGGTGTGTAGCTTGGTGCAGAAGCATCGTCCGGAAATTCCTCCCCACCCTCCACACAGCCCATCGACGCTGTTTTCCTACTTACCCTGGGGCATCTCCCAGAACCTCACCTGCGCCTTGGTGCAGTCATGGGACCTAAAGGACCTTTCTTCACCCGACCGACAGGTGGCGATCTCCTCCATGACAGGAGAACACGGATGCTGCGGACCGCTGTGAGGATTCAGTGAGACTGTCTGCCAACTGCCCGCACGTGGTAGCTGAGTTCTACCTCGTAGTTCAGCAGGGTGGCCCTCCGACGTCAGTGTCACCAGCCTCTTCCCATCCTGCCACCACATCTTCAACCCTTGTCTTTGCCTGGACTGCGCCCCCTTTCCCGTGAGGATCAGGGGGGTCCTCCAGGGACCGTCCCCAAAGGCCACCCACCTCAGTCTCCGGCAGGGACACCTCCATCCTGTCAACTGCAAAGGCTTCTCACACCTTATTTCTACGACTCACCAGACACTCGACGTCACTACTGTGTCCCTTGCTTTGGCACATCACATCTTCTAACAAACTCTCAAGTTCATCTTCCTTACACACACCACAGACCGCACAGTTCTTACGGGACTGAAAGGGCCCATCGTGCACGTCTGGACTGGCAGAGCGAACGAAAGCCACTCGGAAGTGATGGGGTGATTTAAACAAGAACAGGACGCCGAGGACACCGCCCGTGGTGCGCGATTCTGTAATGAACAACTTACCAAGTTACAAAGAACTGGCTGTGCTGTTTTACTTAACGATACAGGACCTGGGACCTCTTCGCCCCGTTCTCATTCAAGGCGCCCCCTAGGGTGCTGCCTGTCTGGCTTACTCGTGACCTCACAGAGCAGAGGAAGGTCAAGTGCATTGCCTTGTAACGGACACAGGGAAGGAGAGAATCAAGAGCAACTCTTTCCTTTCACGTGCAAGTCTGCCGGCTGCCCCTCTGCCCTCTGCCATGTCCATCCTCCCGCCTCCCGCATTAGACGCTGCCCCACGTGTCCCTCAGGGGCCAGCCAGCGCTGGACAGCCTGGGCGCCAGAGTCCCTCGTTACCAGGAGGAGGAGGAAGCAGGGAAGTGGCTTCGGAACAAAGAAACAGATGGGAGGGGACCGGGGAGAGGCCGTCAGGCTGTGGCCTGATGGGTGGGGAAGAGCCGAAGAAGGCCGACTGTCACATGGGGCAAAGGAGAGCTGATGTCCGACGTCCCTCACCAGGGTGACCCACGCAGGGGCTCAGCACTGGGTCCCCACGGGACAGGGGCTGAAAGAGCCCATTGCCGCTGCGCGGCCAGAGCTGAGCGCTCTGCAGCCCCCACCGAAACTTCCTGCTCGCTGTCCGCAGGCAGTTAACTGCGGTGTCGCCGCCAGAGAATGAAAGGCCACTTAAATCTCCGTGGGGGCACTGAGCACAGGTCCCCACTTTCCTGGGGATGGGCTGCGGCCTCCCTGTGAGGGTCCCCTCCACAGCGCTACACACCTTCCCAGGAATTCGAACTCTGTCCCCAAGAAAGCAGTTTTACTTTGTTTTAAAAATGGGGAATCCAAACGTTCCCACCGTCCTTGCCATTTGGAACCTGCCCGAACCCTGGGAGTAAATATTCATTCTCTCCCTGGGGGCGCTGAGTGGGGCTCCAGACAGTACGCAGGTTCTAGTCCCTGAGAGCGGCGACCAGGTGACCAGACAGGGTGTGGGCTGCTGGGTGGACACACTCTGCTCTTTCCCGTCCCCGGCGACTAAGCCCCACAGAGATACGGGCACGTCCCCTTGTCCTCTTCGTCCCGCTCCACAACGTTCTTTCCTGCACGAAACCTGGCTCAGGACGGCGCTGGGTGCCATCTCCCCTTCCCGTTGGTGAAGCCGTGGCCTCGGTGTTGACGGGAGACCCCAGAAGCCAAGGCCGCCCTCTGGTGCCCGCTCCTGCTTTCCCTGGGGAGGCGGCTTCAGGGGAGGCAGGCTGCCAGCCCTTCCTGAGATGACAAAGTGGGGAGTCAAACGACAAAGCAGCTCCTCACTGTCACTCCCCGGAGCCTCATCCAGCCATCGTCCCCAAGGAACACAACGGTAACCAGGCCCCAGGCCAAAACAGCATGCCTAGGACTTCTGCAGGTTCCTGTGGTCACCGCAGGTGTGGCCCATCCGCCCGGCAGGGAAAAAGAACAAAATGGACCCGGAATAGCTGAAATGCTTCTCTCTCCCCACAGAGTGTCACCCTTGCTCCACGTGTCTCTGCCACTTGCTCAAAGCGGAGTCTCTGGGCCACCCATTTAACGCACTGGCGCCCGAAGGAATTTACCTCCGATCCTGTGTTAGCAAAGGGTCCCTCTGGGCAGCTGTGGAGGCCAGGGCGGGGCAGGGTCTCCGTGGGCCATTCCACCCTCCTGCCCCAGACCCTGACCACCCGACCTCTTGCCCCCCCACCCCATGGCCATCCTCTGTCCCTCCATCCCCTCCTGCTCTCCCATCTCCTCCGGCCTTTCCTCTCCACCATTTCCTTAATGTGTCCTTCCCCAGAAAATCAACAGTCAGTCACGTGGCTGCACATGACGGCCAGGCGTGGGGACTCGGGAGGAGGGAGCCCAGAGGCCAAGTCTGAGGAACGCGAGTTGCTGTAACACTGGGGAGTGGAGAGGGGACTGCCTGGCTGGGCGGAGCCACACCCGGAATGGCCCACGCGGCGTGCAGAAGGTCCTGGGTCTCACCGACTCCCACCCGGAGCTCTGGGAAGCGAGGAGGAGTTAGTCTACTCTTCCTGGACGGACCCTCGAGCATGGGGACCCTCACCCAGCTCCCCGCGCCCGTCCAGGTCCTCATCCCAGCCCCCAGCTCGTAAAAAGATGAGGGGCCGACAGGTGAGCATAGAGAACCCCGTCGCATCTGCCCTGCTCGCCTCCCCCGCGTCCCCCGCATCCCCCATGGCGGCCTGCCCAGCCCCACCCACACAAACATGGCGGACGACGGGCCGTCCCGTCCCCGAACCCGCAGCGTTTATTTGGGACGTGGGAACTTCACAGCAGCATGTGTGGGACAATGAATAGCTTTAGCTTTGTAGACAGCAAAAAATATATATATAATATAGTTCTATAATTATGTTTAAATACTTATCAAGAATAACTACCTCATCAGTACTAAGGGAGACTACATGAAAGACAGGGAGAGGGCCAGTTCGGAGCAGACGGGTCCCGGACGGTGGCAGTCCCTTCCCACTGGGCGTGAGGAGCGTCCCAGGCCGAGTGTCCCCAGGGTTTCGGTGCAAGGTGGGTGGGCTGGAGAGTGGGCGGTGCCTCGCGGGGCGTAGGCAGGAGTTGAGGAGGGAGGTGGAGAGAATACAAATGGGGAAGGAGGGTCCTTGTACACCTACCAGGTTTCTCCCGCCGCTTTCAGTCACCTGCCTCTTTGAAGAAACCTCTGCCTACGATTCGTCCTTCCTTGAGCTACCGGACATGACAGGTGGGCACCTACAAACATCCTCCTGTGTCTTTACACGCTCCTCCTTCCTGTCACCAACTTCCTTCACCTGCACCTCCGGCTTCCCTGTGTGGGGACCTCCTGTTCCTCCTGTGTCCAGGGCCGTGGGAGGGGGGCTCGGGCCCCAGTCACTGGTTCTCTTCTGCCTTGGGGTCCCGGCAGGTGCATTCATCCGAGTCACAGTCGGCCGCGAAGGGAATGACCTAGGGGGTCAGAGGAAAGAGGCAACAGCCCGCTTTTCATGACGAGCATCACACTCCTCCGCCGGGTCCCAGAGGACACGTGGGAGGCCATGCTAACATCATGCCAACGAATGAGCCCTCGGTTCCCACGCCCGCACACCAGGGCGCTTCACTGTCTTCCTTTAGAAGTGGGCGGCCCAGCAGTAACTACCCCGGAGGAGACGTCTGTGTCACTCTGAGAAGACGATAGCACAAAATACACACATCCAGGGACCTGTAACTTCTGTCACTGCCACTGCCGGTGTCTAGACCTGCTGCTGGTGATGATTTCCCTGCATCAGTATGGTCACAAAATCCCTGTAAAGGAGGAGGTGACTGGTAGCGTTTTCTTTTCACAGAGAGGTTAGGTGACTTGCCTCCAGGTCGAGACACACTAGTGGGACATGGAGGCTCCCCTGCCTGCCACCCCTGGAGCCGCAGGGTGGCCCTCGCCACCTTCGTAAACACGGGGCCCTGCCTTCCTCTCCCCGAGGCTGTCCCTGGACCTCCCTCTGCTCTCTCTCTGTCTGTGGCTGGGCTGCCTCCCCGCTGGGTAATTATCCTTCCTTGGTGCCAGACACGGTCCAGAAGCCTGCGATGTCTGCGCTGCAGACACCAGACGAACACACTTTTGGGGTGTCTGTCACTAGCTTCAGAGAGACGGGGGCGTTTGGGGCACAGGACGTGAAAGCGGTGGACGTTTCTGCCCTCCGGTGATGGGCAACCAAGTGAGATAAAAATAGGTGTGTTTTAACAGTGCAGCTCCACTGGGCACAAGTGCCATCTCCTGCGTGTTTCTGATTCGTCCAATTGGCCAACTAGCAACCAATAGCTTTGGAGCCCTCGGTTTCTTCATCCACATCACTGTAAAATTTCAGGCTACCGAGTTGCGTGTTTAGCTTAAGGATACCTGCTAATTTAATAGAACCCAGAGCAAAAGGAATAAAAGGCGAAAGGGACCTCCGTCCAGGCTCTGGTCATGGGAGGGTTCCGGGTGGCTAGTGGTGGCCACTCGGCCGATGCTCACAACACGCTGATAATGTACTTCATAGGGTTATTCATGTGTTTATGGAGCCTAACGGCTGGGTCCCCTGTCCCTGGTCATCCCGCCTCCCCGAGGGGGAGGCCACTGTCCCTTCCTACACAGACGCCTCCTGGGTGGTGAGCAGGTGTGAGTCCTTCAGCGGCAAAAGCCTCGGTTCTCCGAAAGCGTCACTGGACTGACAACGAGGGACTTGGTATTTTTCAAGGATCTACCCTGAAAACCGCCGCCCTGGGTCCCGTCATTTTAGAACTGTAATTCCTTCCTCTTGACTGATGAATAAAAACCGGTTACGCAACACCGAGGGGAGCCAGCCACTGCACCTGAGCGGCGCCCCCCCTCCCCCGGGCTGCTGTCCCCCGCCCCCCAGGCGCCCCGCTCACCTTCCTGGAGGAGAGGGTGGAGGGGCAGCAGTCGCCCCCGTCGTAGTGGCAGTAGGCCCGGTTGTTGATGGTGTCACACCAGCCGTCTGCTTGGAAAGGCTGGCAAGGGGGCGGGAGTTCAGTGTCGGAGTCCAGCTTCGCCCCCACCCCACTCGGCCCCAGCCCAACACAGGAGACGGCAGGGAAGAGGCCCTGGGGCGCAGGCTACAAAGGACCCCACGTTCTCCAGAATCTCAGTCTGAAGATGAGACGTGGGGGGGGGGGAACAATGGGATCTCCCGAGCACCTGTCCCCGGGCACGCGGAGGCCTGGAAGGGCTCTTCGGAACTAACTGATAAACTCTCTTATGTTCTTGTAATAATAGGCCCTTATGTTGTGTAGGTTACAAAACAGAGTCACACACTTCAACCCTCGACCATCAGAAAAAAACCCTGTGCATCAGGCCGAGGTGGCTCTGAAAGTCCTGTCATCAGCAAGGACACGAAGGTGCAGAGAGATAACAAAGACTGTTTTGGGTCACCAGCCAGAGGCAGGCAGACGTGGGATCGGAAGGCCTGCCCCTGGACTTTGTGGCGTCTCTCACGGATTCAGGACCACACTCCCACCCCTTCCGCAGGTGCTCGCACTTAGAGACCCTGGGAGTTCTGAGGGGCTACAAAGACTCCGATGCTGGCCGTGCAGTGGTCCTTGGGTGAGGGACCCCCGTGCTGGGACAGAGAGAGCCCCCCATGCACAACCACCTATGCACATAGGCAGGACGCAGGGTTGGAGCAGAGAAAGGGGGCTGCTCCCTTCCACACCTCCCCCCACTGCGAGGCGAGGCCACAGGCACCAAAGTGGGAAAGGGGCCCAGGCCAAACCAGAGTTAATGGAGTGTTTCACCCCAACGGGGAAGGTAGGGTAAGAATAGCAACAAGCAGTGAAAAACAACCCAGCAGCCCAGGGCACAGTTCCTCTGGAGCCACTCCTGGAGGGGAACAGTGGCCCCCAGTGGCCCAGAGGAGACAGCCACCAGCCCTCCCGTTCAATCACTGCAGCCTTCCCTGTCCTCAGTGACGCCCAATGACGGCAGGGCCTCAGGAAATGTGTCTTTGGGCCACAAGACGGTCATCAGACTCCTGAGTTCTGCAGCCACCTGCCAGTTCACAAATTCTGATCAGCCTCTCTCCCCCATGCTCCTTAAATGTCAAATGAGAGGACTGTTCCCTCCTTTGTCATGCTGTGATGAGACACATCACTAAACCCAAAAAGAATGGCCATTAAATAATTTTCACCCACTGAGTTATGTGGGAACAAGCTCATCCAAGACCTCACTTCAGTGTTTTGGTTCATTCTATGGGGTCCTGAGGTCATCTGAGCATCATTCCAGATGTGTGCCCACTTGTCTATCACTAAACAGCAGCCACGTGTGGGGCGGAACGTGACAGCTGGCACCCGGCTGCAGCCACGTCAGCGGAGAGCAGGAAGTGAAAATGAACTGTTCTCCACACAGGCCCCGCTGGGATGGAAGACAAAAGATCCTGAGATGAGCACTTGTCCTTGACGCCCGCGCCAGCCACTCTGGCTCTGGAGAGCCGGGGTGGCCACACAATCAGGACTTGGGTCCGTCACTGCAGCTAAGCAATAGGACTCAACATGCCACCACCTGCACCCTTCAAACCTTTCAATGCCCACGGGGCCTCCCAGGAGGACCAGACACAAGCACCGAGATTCCCCCGAGTTTTCTGTTTCTTCTTCAGGTATTTGGAGTACATTCTCTCATGCAACGTGGCATCTGCTCCTTCCCTTCAACCTCGATGGATTCACTGGCACAGCGCAATCTGTCCCCTCTTTTTTGCGCAACTGTCTATAAAGAAGACCACGCAAAACACTCTTCCCACCACACAAGCACGGCTTCGCTATGGAAGGTTAAAGGGGGAGCTTCCTCTTGACGAGAGCAATGGAAACATGTGGACGGACCAGTAAAGGAGGCCGGGGCATCTGCCTTTCCAAAGTACTCCCAAGCTTGGCTTCTCACCTGCAGGACGTCAGGGAACAGACCTCAGAAAGAGCGGAAACAATTTGGGAACCCTCTCTAGACGCTGCTGCATTTCTGCTCTTAAAGGGTCATCTGGGAAGAGAAGGGAGCTGATAGAACAGCAGCAGAAATCCACAGAAAAGATTGGAAAGACACGAGTATTTAATTTACTGTATACCTATTAGAATTGATTGCTCCTCCCCCAACCTGCCAAAAACAGCTTCTCCACCCGAAACAAACAGAGGCTCCCATGGCAACGCGGCCCTGGGAAGAAGCGTGCAATGGAAAAACTAGGAAGGGGAAAGTGACTAACTGACCCCGAGTTTCCTAAGCATCTGAAAGCTGGATGGCAACGAGGAGCTCTGAATCTCAGGAACCGAAAAGTCTCAGACGCGGGACGTCGCTCCGTCCCGAGTATTTTCCAAATACCTGAACCCCTTTCCTTCAGGAGCTGCTTCTTCATTTTAACCATTTCTGACCAAAGAAAAAATCTTTGTGAAAAGTCTACCTCCTTGACTTTCAATAATGGTTAGACCACAAAGTCATCGATGTGAACACTTCACACACACACACACACACACACACACACTCCATTTATCTCTGAGCCTGCCTGACTCAAGCTTCTCAGAATTGCACGTCAGTAGCTCATCTGAGAGTCTGGGCGGCTCCTCTTGGGAAGAGTGAGACTGGTGATGCCTCCGCCGTCGGCACTAGAAGGCTTTTCTCGCCAGGCTCTCTGGCCTTGCTGCGTTCCAGGCGCACGAGCGGCCGAGCACACCACTGCACGTAAGCGAAGGCACACAAAGGGGAAGGGCTGTCCATCTCTCCTGCCTCCAGTGTTCCGGAAGCTTCTCAAAAGTAAAGATGAAGATGACTGCTTCCTTGCGTTATGTTGCTGGGTGATAACCTGCTGAGGGTGTGGCTGGGTCCCTTGTCCATGGATGGAGTTACTCTTCCCGTCGGTCAACGCTGCTTACCCCACATGTAGAGCATGTGGGCTCAGTTCCGGGGATACGTAAATAAACAAACCGAACGCAACTCCAGCGACGGGGAGAACCCACTGTGAGCATGTGCCACTGACCCGTGGGGATGAGAGCTGGCACCGAGACGTGGGTGGGAAAGAAGCCCAATCCGGATCTGGGGCTGCACGAGCCTTCGGGGACTGGCTCTACGCACAGCCCTTGCAGAGGGGCCCCTGGGGCTGGGTGACTGGGGGAGGAAGAGCACCCTGGGAAGAAGAGGGTGAACACAGAGGGCTGGATGGCCCCGACCGCCTAGCACAGGGCCTGCCCTGGAGAAGAGAGAGGGCCATCGGCTCTGGCTGATTAGCTGGTAACCCCTCTATGACTTGAATCAGATTAAGAACATTTCTATGGCTTGTAACAGAACTCATGACCACAGTGATGCTTTAGAAAAGTTCCTTTGGACTTGAGGTCTTCTAACCCACAGGCTGGGACAGGAGCGCCATGAGAGCGCCTGTGCCCCCTCAGGTGAGACAGAAGCAGAGTCCCGGTGAAGCCTCCGAGGTGAGCTGTAGGCCAGGAGGTATCAGCAGGTTCTGTCTGAGGCCTAACACAGGCATTTTCTCCTGGTTTGGTACCCCTGGTGACTTCCCTTCCCTCCTGGTCTCCCAGCTGCAGAGCTGAGAGAGTTTGCTTAAACCCGATCCAGCACTTGGGGGTTATTTATCAAAGGAGAACTTTCAGGTGGCATATTCTACTATCTCTTCCCACTCGGAAATGAATGGGCGCCACGCTATGCCTGGCGGGATATGTGTACATAAGACCTCTGTCAAGCCCGTGTCCGCCGACGGCGTCTGTGTTCACACTAGGACAGGGACACCATGCCCCGACAATGAGAACCGTGTCTGAGTCGTGATTCTCGTGCAGCAGCCGCAGCCTGGTGGGCTCTGCAGAGTCAAGGAGGATGCAAAACGAGGACCTGGCCCCCCAGGATGCCCAGGAAGCGAAGTTAGCCACCAGCCCACTTGTTTATCTGTGGAGAGCCTGCTGTGCACTGGCACTGGACTAGCGTACGGGACTAAGAGGATCATCAGACTCGGGGCCCTTGACCGTGCCGTTCAAGCGTTAACCTCTATCACGTATACACGGATGAGATGTGCTACAGCAGGCAGGGCAGGGAGAGCTCTCTGGGACCGGGGGGCTGGTACGGTTTTCCAGGGGCGGTTGGATGTGAGAAACTCCTCCTGCTCCGTCTGCCTCAGGGCTGCTGTCTGTTTTCCTTTTACCTTTTCCGGCGTGTTAGGAGCCGAAAGCCGGAGCAGGCGACAAAGGCAGTGACTGGAACCTCGGCTGTCCTGGGAATGTTTGCAGATACCTGTCATCAGGTGGCGGGGTTTTCACAGCCACCTGAGAACAGGGTCTAGGGCGGGGCCTCTGCAAGGCAGAGAGCTTGTAAGTGGCCCTGTCGGCATTGTGATCTGGAGACTGCCGGTGAGGGCCACTGTGCAATGCCAGAGTGACATGGTGACGCTGCACAGGTGGGTTGGCTCACCTGGAACCGCGAGATTGCTGCTGCCCACCAGCCCTGAGGTCTGCAGGATTCGAATCCAGGCCTTGGCCAACTCATTGTAAGATATGAATGAGGCTGTTGAATTACCACAGCGGCTGCAGCTGCAAAGAGGACGTCCTTGAAGGTCACGGGCCTGCTCCACAGACCGCGGATCAGCAAGATGCCGTTGGAAGAAAGGCGGTGCCCCTCCTGTTGGCTGGGCGGAAGGAAGCAGCCTCGTCTGGTGGCCCTGAAAGAGGCTTGTGACGTGGGGTCTAGCCTTGTGGCCTGGCGCGCTTTGCTGGCCACGTGAGGTCGCAGGGTTTCTTTGCAGGGCTTCGAGCCTCTGCCTGAGCAACAACTCTGACAAGAAGAGCGAATGTGACCGTCCCAGGTCTGAAAGAGGAGCCCAGTGCTGGCCAGCTCCCTTATCCAACACCAAAACCGAAGTGCAGTCTCAGAAGAGGCCTCACCAAACGGCACAAAAACCCACCTCTTCCATGAGAAACACAGGATAAGTTGAGATCGAAAAGGAGAAGCAAACGGAATAAGGTCAAATGACTTCTTTGAC